GGCTCTTCATTGATTCTTTCCAGTTCCATGACAGAATTTTTCTCAAAAAGCATAACATCCACCTCTGTAATTTTTACGGTATCAACTTCTTCAGATCTATCTGCACATGAGCGTCATCAAACAGTAAAGGACACTCAAAAGTATCCACAATATCCTCCTGCACAGGCACTGGATAATTGTTTCCTAACTCTCCGAACATCTTTCTAGTATAATCGTTTTTTTATCAATAACTGTTAACTTTCATTAATATTAGGAAAAAAGTATGATACAAAGAGTAAATATACAAGTAAGGACTGAGGGATAAAAAAACCATCTCTCCCCTTGAGAGCACCCCTTTCTTACAACTATGCCCAGAAAATAACTTGCCACCCCACCCCTTATCTTTCTTGTATAATCTTCTACCCCCAAGACAAGAATACCCAACGTCTTGCCCACTTCTATTCCTGTATTTACAATCTTCACCACATCAATCGATTTTTCAATAAAATGAGTCTCATCTATTGGAATTTCTTCTTTCTCTGAATCCAAATCCTTTTCTTCCTCCCCTTCACTTCCTTCTCCCTTCTCCTTTTCCAGAACATTGTCATCATCCTCTTGTAGTGGCCTTGTTCTTTCAATACCATGCTTTTAGTCTTTTACCAAAGCAAAGCTACCCAGAATTGGATCTTCACCATTTTCTTCCCCTAGCTCCACACCATTGTATATGCATGCTTCTTCTCTTTGAACAAGTAAAAATGTTTTAAAAGGCAAACAAGGATTTCAGGCTTGCTTCCAGGTGAGGTTTAGAGAAAAATGCCTTGAGGCTCTCTCTTGAAAATATAAGCCACATTCCTCACACCTCGAGATTCCTTGTGCATATGATTGTCTATTTGCGCTCATGTCTAAGCTTCGATATATTTAAAATTGTTTTGAGGTATTATTTAACATTTTTAGCTTTTAAATAATTATTAAGTGGATTTAAAGTCAGTGATACAACTGTTTGAGCAAATGTCCAATTTGAAGGTTAACCTTGGGAAAAGCTGTGTAGTGGGGGTGAATTTGGAGGAGGGAGAGATCAGGGAGAGTGCTGAAGTGCTGGGGTGTGAAGTTTCGGGGTGGCCTTTGAACTACTTAGGGTTGCCATTAGGTGATAATCCCAAGAGAGAGAGTTT